ACTGAAAAAGATCCCAAAATAGTAAAAAAGGACATGTACTTTATATGTAACTTTTCCTTACTATTATTTGATAGGACAACTTTATTTATGTTGTCTTGTTATCATCAAATAGGGGGAGATTATTGATCCTCTCTTTCAGTGATTTGATGATAATCCTTTTTCACTTATACGTTGTATTTATGTTTCTGTCTTTTCAGTTCCAGCGATCATCACTGAACCAGTTCAGTGATCCCTGAAGAACTTGTATTGTAATTCAATCAAAGACAACGATATTTCAAGAAGACAACACTCACACCAAAGAACCTTCAGCTAATGTCGAAGACTGAAACTGAAGATTAGAGACTGACGAGTACGTGATCTGAAGCGATACTAAGTGATTACAAGCCTGTCTACATATGTGTGAAGACTGTTCAAGCCTCCGCAAATGTTAAAGAGACTTCCAGGTTATTCCAGCATTCAGCAATCAAAGGAAGCTTGCCTAGCACGATTGTTGTTGTCTTGTCCTTATGCACACAAAGGACAAAACCATACCCTTTCTAATAGTTAGTACGGTACGGAGCCGACTAATCGACTTTATTGCCTACCAACTTTAGGTAAGGATGTCTGCTCATGAATAGTGCTTTCTGTACTATTCACTATAGCAAAAGATAAGCCTTCCTCTTAAGGCTTGACACGCACTCTAACCCTACCATATTGCATTAAATGAACATTTAATGCACTGGGTATAAATAGAAGTGTTTCTTCTCCATGCAGAGTGCGTGCAACTCATTCTCTAAACCTGATTCTTACTTTGAGAATTTCCTAGCTTAAGTAAAGGAACTTTTCTTTACAACATTTCTTTTCTCGTTTGCTAAGAATCTATGTGTAATCAAAGATTGTTTAGATAGGTTTTCTTACCTTATCTTTCCGCAAACAGTCTTGTAAAATTTGTATTGATCTTCTTTATCCCCCCTTCTACAAACTGTTTTACTTATCTTGTAGACCCTCAAGGGACCAACATCTTTTCTACTGGTCATGTGTTTTGAACATCCAGAATCTAAGAACCACTCAGGACGGTTAACCTGCAACACATATTACTTCACTTTAGGTACCCACTTAAAGATAGGTCCTTTAATGTTAGACTTGGTTGGTGGTATACTATATGTACCGAACCAACTATTTATGGAGGAAGTCCTTATTTGAGATTTGGCTTTTAAAGGCTTAGCAACATAAAATGAATCATACACAGAATTAAAATAAGCAAAAGAACAAAATCATCCCATCCACAATTAGAGCAACATATTTTTCCATTTGCTAAACGGATTAATTTCTTTACAGGGTACTTTTTAACAAAAGATGATTTATCCATTATAATATTAGAAAAATATGTTATTCTTATTCTTTCTAACAGACTGAGATGACTTTCTCTCATCTAGTGTTATAGATCTTTTTACTTTCCAGATAGTCTTGAAAGTATGCTTTCTCACAGAATTATCTAAAACATTAGACACAAACTCATCAAAAGAATGTCCATGATTACTGATTTTTAACAGTTTTATTCTGTTTTCGTGAATACCTTTTAGGTTTATTCTTTTTATAGTAGGTATTCATAGGAACATATTCAAATTCAGATTTAGAATTTTCTCCTTTAAAAATCTTGACCGGTTCCTTAGCCTTTTCTTTACCTTTATCCAAAAATTCAATGTGGCTAGGAAGTTGTTGTGAGAAGTCAAACTGATTTATTCCTTCATCTACAAACATGAGAAATTAGAATTTCAGAAAATTCCATTTCTTCTATAGACACTTTTACATCATCTGAATTAGTAGATTTACAAAAAGACTTAGTGACAAAGTTTCCCATAAATGCCTTGCATGAAGAGGCTTCAAAATCAAAAGAATCAGTATGTTCCTCTTCTTGCATAACACTTTGAGATTTAAAACTTTCAATTCTAGAGAAAAGAAATTCCCTTTCCTTTTAGGATATTTTCGAGTTGAACTATTTGTTTCTCTAGAACTAGAGTAGGAGTATAAGGTTTATGTTCAATCGGTTTTGAAGAAAGCTCAATAGTTGAATAACTGTTAATGTAGTTAGTAGAAAGTCCATGCACTCTTGTATGATAACTTTCATTTAGTTCTTTATAGTTAAAAGGAACTTGCATTTTATCTGCTCTTTTTCTGTTTAAATAATCTTGCTCTTCTACCTTATCAGATGATTTCATGAATTGAATTTTGTAATCTGGATTGAGGTCTAAATATTCAAATCAATACAAAGTAGGAGTATGGTAATGTGCCTTCTTAAAAAATTGAATTTTCATAGCTTAAACCTTCGATTGGATTGAAAAATCTAAATTCATTATGCTTGTTCAGAAAAATTGTTTGATCAGTTTGTCCTCTCTTATAAAGCTTTTGTTCAAGATCTTTAAGTTTTTTCAGTTAAACCCTTATTTTTCTTGCTTTTTAACAATAAGGTCATCATTAGGAAACTCTGATAATTTTAATTTTTCTGATAGTTCAGAAATCTGTTTCTTCAAGTCATTTTTTTGATCTTTTAGCATTTGTTTTTCAGCTTTCAAGGATTGTGCCCATGAAAAAATTTCAGCGTTTTCAGCATGGATTTTTTAAGAAATCATCTTGTTCTTTGTTTCTTTTCAAGAACAATAACAAGGTCTTTTTCAATTGTAAGTTTTGGTTGAAAATCTTCCAATTTAAGCATCATCCTTTGCATCTGCGTAAGATAAGAAGATTCAGATACATCAGAACTTGATTCTAATTTGGTATCATCATCTTCCGACAAATCAGTATCCTCTCTAGCCATTAAACAAATGTAAGCATGAGCCTCCACTTCCTCCTCTTCATCAGTCAAATTCAACCAGTGATCATCTTTAGTCATGAGAGCTTTACTAGCATCCTTTTGCTTAGAGAGAAGAAATTTGTTCTTGTAGTAATCAGTGTTTTTAGATACGGGTTTCCTACAATTGATAGCAAAGTGACCTCGCTTCCCGTAATTATAGAACTTTGTGTTCTCACCAGCCACTGCCTTACCAATCTTCTTATTGTCATCAAATTTTTTCTAGTACTTCTTCTATTCACACTTCTTCTTTTCCCTAAACTTGTCCTTGTACTCATACTTAGACCCAGACGAGAACATTCGACTGTTGGAATGTGGCTTTTTGTAAAACTTCTTCTGAAAAGCCTTTGCTGATCCTAGATCTCTCAATGTAACACGAAGATTGATGATTAATAACCTAAATCTATCATATCAATAAAGAAAGTGAAGAACAACTTTAATGATATTCAAGAAAGTATGAAGCTTTCAAGTAATTTCACTATACTAACAAGTTCGTGATCTGAAGCGGTTTTCAATGATAACAAGCTCATCTACATAAGTGTGAAATCTACACAAGATTCAGCGAACACTGATGAGACCTCCAATCTCAGCGATCAAATGAATCTTGTTGAACAAGATCAGTTTTTGTCTTGTCCTTCTGCACATAAAGGACAAACTCATACCTTTCAAGTGAAAGTACATTATGGATTCACTCTATTGTCTCCAAGCGTGCTTACCTACTTTATGAAAGAATACTCTTCATATACGGCCAACAGACTGTATACAACAACAAAGTACAAGCTTGCCACGTGCTTTGTACCTTATGAATTGCATTTAATGCAATGGGTATAAATAGCTGAGCAATTCTCTCTTCTCAGTTAATATCTTCCACATCTTATTATCCAAGAAGATACTTCTCCCTCTAACTCTCTATCTAAGAGAAAGACAACCACTTTAACAAGTGAAGAGCACAATACTTCTTAACATATTTCTTGTAGCAAGTCTTTTCTTTATTGCTATTTGTAAACTGTGTGTTATCTTTGATTGTTAAGATAAGTTTTGTATCTTATCTTTTCCACAAACAATCTGTAAAAATCTGTATTGATTTTTTTTATCAATATAAGCTTTTTAAAAGTAAAAGCTGTTGTGTTTGTATTCATCCCCCTCCCTCCTTCTACAAACAGTTGCCTATAAACTCTTGTAGATCCGACTGGGACCAATATATATAGTGTGTGTGTGAATCATAAGAAGTTATGGTGAGAAACATAAAAAGAGATCTCCACCCTTAGATCAATCATAATCCTAATTGAATGTCAACACTAATAAGGTGCACCGAGATGTATCAAATTAATCTGCTTCTAAAACACAATTCACGGATGGAAATGAAATTAAAAATGATCAAGGGTTTAAATCTATTTTTACGCTTCTAATCATAACTTCTCATCTCACACGATCCTTCGCTTATATATATATATATATAGAGAGAGAGAGAGGGGGGGGGTTATGAAATGTATAGGAAAAAGAAAACTCATGTGGCAAATTCATAAAATCTTAAAAGGTTCATGACTGTTGATGCTTTAATATCCATCATAACTTACCTAGAGATTTGTAAACCCTCAAGTAAAAGCCTAAATGGTAAGGAGCCGTTTACCAAACGTTACCCGGGTAATTGCTTATCAAATCACGTTTACCTTACCAAATGAATATGACAAAGACCAAGAATCTTACCCGGTAAAAGCAAATACAAGGAACAAGAGTCTTACGCAGTAAGTGAATGTGACGACTCTTACAACGATTAGAGTTTACCGGGCAAATTGTTGCATACGATATCATTTTGATGACTAAAATCTTACCCAATAAGTAAATGATAGTATTGAAGTTAACTGATAAACGCTTACCCAGATAAACGTTTGGTAAACGACCGCTAAGCCAAATTCCAATATCTGCTTCAACTGAAATCTATTAAACAAAACCCAATTTCGTTGGGTTAAAGAAAGTTGAAAACCAATCAACCCAGAACCCAATTAGACGGACCATTAATGGGATGTAGTTGTTGCTATTGGATAATAGGAAAGCTCCTTTTTCCGTAAAATAAGAATCAACAAAGATCCATCACATACACGATATGCACGATGACGGCTTTCAAATACGCAGAGTAATATGAAACACCCTTTCAACAAACATAACAATCGAAGTCTTTCAACGTTCAATAATTACAAAAACTTATGAAAATATAACAAGCAGGGGTTAATGGGATGTTACAAGATATATTTCATAGTCAATGATTCACTTGGGCTATATATAGCTAATCGGCAACGAAAAGCAAGAAAACAGAATCGGGGTGGGTTTTCATTGATTGATAATGGGAGGATGACTCATTTAATCACGAGGACGTGCGAGCCATATGGAGCTAAGAGCTCTTAGACGTGAGAAATAGTCGCTGATAGATATTAATGCTCGAGCTGATTGCCGTGTTGTCAGTATCCGGTGCATTTGTTGCAAGGTTTGCTGCCGCAAGTTGTCCGCCTGCTACCAACACCAAACCAACCATTTCATGTTCATAGACACCCACAGATGTATGTGCCGGTGCGTTTCATGTATTTCATCCAACTAGTATACATTGACTATCCATTCCATATGACTGCAGCCATATTTTACGTCTTTAGGCCACGGCTTCAAACAAGTTGAAAGCAGCTTGTGGGAATTGAAGCCAAAACCTCATAGGGCGTATTTCCGTGTGTGTGATCATGCATACTTGCATGAGCATCTGTTAGTGTGTGTGTGTGAGAGAGAGAGAGAAAGAAAGAGCAAATTAAGTATGACCTGTCGAATGAATCCCTCTAGTGTTCCTAGTTTCCCCATTGCCATGGCCATTTGGCCCATGTAGTTGGCTACATTGCCTGATGAACCAACGGAGCCTGCTAACGTCTCAGCTAAGGACTGCTGCAAAGCATCCATTCCCTGCGACAACGCATCCTCTGCCTGCTGTGATGTTTGCTGTAAGTTATTGATGGCCAATAACTGCTGCTCAGTCAATGGCTCCAGTTGGGTTACAAGTAGCTGCAAACCCATACATAGAATCATATAGACCACCTCGCTCAAAAACTATAGGTAAATCAAATTAACAATTAACAATTAACAATTAACCTTGAGGAGTTCTGATGAACGAAATCCACCTAACCAGAGAAAACAACGTTCTGCAGGTGTTTTCCACATGCCCGATAGAATGTGGAAGACATCGGCCTTTGCAGCATCACCTTTTATTCTGAAAATATCTTCATAATGTGACACGACCCCATCAACAATAATACGAAGTTCACCATCAGCAGCATGTGAGCTAACAGCATCTCTTAGCTCACTAATTCGCCGGTTTTGCTCTTCCAGCCATCGTGCATATTCAACATGAAAAGATGAGGCTCCTGCATAGTTCTATCATCAAAATCGCTTTTCTATCTGTGATAAGAATGATAGAATACAGTTACACAAACAGAATACTCTTACTAAGTAGATGGAACACATTGATTTTAAATCTCCAAAGCAAAGGTTTAGACAGTAGCTTGCATACACTCTCACATCTGTAGCTTGCTTTCTTGTTTCTTTTTTCTTTTGCAAGTCAGTGTCTTCACAAAAACAAAGGTGTAGACCCTACCTCTATGGCATTTACTAGGTCAGATAAGTCAATCACCGTTTATAGAGACTACATATAATGGGATAAGTGCACATATTGTCACAGGCCGACAAAATCCTCAACACATGGACTACAATTACCAATGAAGGTAGATAAAATCTTCGTGGCCATATATGAAGGGCATCATCTAGTCATAAGTTAATTTATCTGATTCGCAAAAGATCCCATCTAAAATCGATGACTCCAGTCCAGTTTAGCATTCTACATTCTTTTAGATTTTTTTCTTTATTACAAGAAGTCAACATCGAATAAGAATTCACTGAATCCCTGACCAGTGATGTTGACATTGATGATTGATACTGATATTCATATAGCATTGTGGAAACACCATGGAGTCTATTGTATTGTCCACCACTCATGAATTGCTCTACCACTAACAAGCTTCGCCAAAACCAGAATAGTCACTCTAGAAATCCTCCATGTTCACAGTTTCCATCATCTCACAAGCCTGCCTATTCATAAAGCAAACAGGACCCCACTCGTCTTTGTTTCTTTCTTTCTCTTCCTCCCTTTTTGCTCCCATTTTTGCACAAGCCGCAGGTCTTCACAAAAAACATATGATCTATCCTTTGGGATAGAGGTCAGGTCTGGGTACACCACCCTCCCCAAAAAAAGAAAAAAGAAAGCCATTCTCTCAAGCATAACATACAGAATCTTCTGGTTTGGTTTGGTTTGGTTTGATTTTTCACTTCAAAATTGTGCATCTTGAACTGAAGGAGCTGTTATCTCATAGGCCATGGGACCAAGAACATCAAGATATGCTTGTAATCCTTGCTTTCAAGACAGATCTTAAATCCCCATACAGTTGGTTAACGTCCCACCTTAACCAGCTAGCCATCTCCCCTCTCTAGAAGTATCACCCCATTTATCCTCGCTTTTGTTTCCATATATTTTACATTTTTGCTAAGTAAATATCTAAAACTGTCAGCAGAAATGCATTTAAGGCTAAATACTTTTGCTTTATTCACAATCCAACCCAAGAGTTTAAGATTCACGAACTACAATGGAATTACAGAAATTTCTTGTTACATGATAATGATTGTTGCTAAGACAAAGTAAAGGTAAAACAAATAATCATATAATCAATAAAATGGCAAGATGGTAAGAAAAACTAAACCAAACCAAACAAGCCCGGGGGAGGGGAGTTTGGATGTAAGCAAAAATGACCTCTACAAAAAGAGTAGAGTGGCTATTTCTATGAAGACCCCCGGCTTGTCGCGAAGTGTGGGAGAAAACAAAAATAGAAGGAGAACATACGAAAAAGAACTTCAAAAAAAAGTTAGTGCTATAATTTGAAGCAAGTAAGGACTCTATGATGAAATCTTCTAAGTGAATGCATGAGCTATTAAAAATAAGTTACAAAGTAAAATGACAAAATCATTCAGAAATTAGAAAGTTAAATTTATTCACCTAATGTTTAAAGACAGAACAAGAAAGAAAATGGCAGCATGGTCATACCATTTCCACTGGTTGATTGAGATTGTTCTCCTGAACTTGAAATGAAGATGCCCTTTCAGCAAAGGAGTAGCATTAAGATAAGTGAATGTGTTGCTGGGAAGTCAAAAAGGATTGTATAGATAAGCATTGGTCAAACCAAACCTGCTGTCTGGCTCGCTGAAGCTCCTGCTCAAGTTGGCTCAACTTCATTCTGCTACTTTCTAGCTGTTGCACATAAGCCTAAACGACCACCATAAATAAATAAAGAAGTTCAACTCAGCAAACAATGCATCAAAATTATTAGTGAACCAAAGTAATATCTAGAACTGCTCATGATGGAACAAAGGATTCAAAATGCAACATGTTGATTTGGCACATAGTTCAATAAAAAAGTTCGACCATTGATGAAATGTCCAAAATGTCTCTTAATAAAGAAAACTTGTAGACCAAAAGTAAGGATACCAATTTCAAGTAATGGTTACTAACAGGCAAAAAGTTAAATTAGGATTGAAAATTTACCATAAAAGAAAATGTTGCATTTTATTGAAGAATGGAAAGGATTGCAATTCCTTTTCGCTGGAAGGAGTGTTCTTTAGCTCAGCGATTAACAAACACCAAAAAGTGATACTAGATCATTGACAATAATTATGCTTTTAAGAAGCTTGGAATGAACAACGTGACCTACTTCTTTGTCACTGGTTCCTAGGCAATAGAGGTTTGATGTTGCCAAGACTCAACTGGCTTATGTGATTTTTTTACTCATCAATAATTCTAGCAACTTTTTCCCCAAAACATAAGTAAAGAATGAGGGCCTTGCCTTTTCTACACTTAAGATGTCTTAATGATCAACCTACATAAAACATAGGGTCCAAAAAGTTACAAATGTTAAATTACAATGCAGTAAATGAGTAGACCCTAAATAGTGTAGATATTTTGTTCCTGAAAATGCAGGAAAAAAACAAGAGTGATTGTGTTGTGAACTCCTATAACTCCAGTTTACTCATATGGATGTTCATGTTTCATTCTACCATTATCTATATCCATCTACCTCGTGCATGCCACCCACATCTACCTTTGAGGTAATATTGGGCTAATTTATTACATAGGCATAAGTGCACCTTTCATAACCAAACTATAACCCGACTCACAATTCGATAATTGACTTCAATTCTTCACAATTACGTAAGGTCGTCAACAGAGAACTCTCTTATTGGCCAAAGAAAAGGTTAGTTCTATGCATGTCTTGTCATTAGCTCTTGTCGAAACGGTCAAACAAGCTACATTCTTACTTAGAAGAAGAATCCAATCAATCATTGATGAATAAAGAAGTTGTCGCCGTCTAACGTCCCTCACTCCCTTCGTTTTCTCTTTTGTAAGATAAGAGGAAGTGTGCCTCCTTTCCTCCTTCCTCCAATCTGTTAGTCCTAATTTCAGATATCTCACATCTCTTCCTCTTTCTTACAAAAGCAAAAACACAAAGAAAAACAAAATTAGCCCTCCCTTGTCCCTAAACTCATATCTACACCATCGTGATTATTGACCATTTAAAGATATGTTCAAGCAGCTTCATGTGCAATCATTGGAGCACCCCTGCAACTTAGGTAATACTATTAACAAAAGGACCTTTACCCAAAACAAGTACTTGAAAGGCCATGGTGTCCTATTGTTGGAACCCAGATACTCTTAATTTGCAGAAACCACAGTTTATAAATAATAGGAATGAAAACAAACAGTGTACCACGAATGATTAATCGAAATATTCAAAGTATAAATAAGAACAATGAAAAGACTTTTATTGATGAATGTAAAGAACAATCAAAAATCGTAATCTCACAATAATTAGGTATAGTATAAGTCGGCACTTTCAGGTAATTTGAACCTGAGGAGGAAGCCTCCTTATATACGCCTAGGTCTAACAACTATGCTATAAAATAGGCTTGAAATACTGAGCTGACGAGTCTGCATCCTTATCTTTGACTTCCCTTGAAAAGCGGAGCAGACTAGGTCAAGCTGCCTCAAAACAGTTAGACGCTTGCGAGAATGTATGGGCTAGCATGCACGTTCCAGAAGCTTTGCTTGTAACATACAGAAGCTCTGCATGTACTATGCAGAGGTTCTGTATATGCAGAAGCTCTGCATGTACGATGCAGAGGCTCTGGGTCTTGGAGTTGTAGCTTTGTGTCAAGCGCTTATGCTTTTTGGCGCATAAGGCTTAATGGTCCATGGGGATAGAGCTTGGGCTCTGTATGGATGGAACCTTCACTCTTGGGTAAGAGCTCTGGTTCTTGATCTTCTGCATGAGAGCTCTAAGTCCAGACCGCTTCAATAGACTAAGTCCTATTGACTATAGTAAGAAACTTCTTACTTACGCTTTCACAAGTTGGAGTCTAACAATCTCCCCCTAAGTGTAAATAAGGCAGACTCTTACTTGAATTACAAAACAGAAAGTCTAATCAAAGCCAGAGGTTAAAAGAAACCTCTGATTTCCATTCACTATCTAAAAAGGTACAATACAATTGAATGGAAATTACATCGACTTAAAAATAGAGAAAAAAAAACTTACAGAAGATAAGGTCTAAATGTTTTGAAGTCTAATGCACTTCCTAAGAAGTTCACGAAGCTCTAGCATGTTGCAAATTGACCTTAAGATGATTTTTGCTCGCTCCTTTGCTCCTGGGGAGTTGTCTCTGCTCCTGACTAGGTTATCTCTGATGTAGCGCAGAGTAGAGTTTGAATACTTGTAGTTTTGGTTATCTCGAAAAAAGATCTTTTGTTGTGCATTTCGAAATACCACTCCCACTTCTGGTTCCTCCAATACAGTCCAAGAGGGGATGCTATTGATACCCTGCAGATTTTCATTTGGTGCAGCGACAGTCAATTGATCCACTCCCAGATCTAGAGCTAGTTGAAAATCAAACTTGCATCTGAAGTCGAGTAGGTCTGTCATCGTTTGTCGTATAGCAGAGTTGGCCACAGCATATTTAAGCCCCTTATCCTTCTTGTGGTCTGTGAAGTAATACAGAGATAGAAGATCCCACGGATTCAGATTTATAAGGTCACAATCTGTGAACCTGCAAATCTGTCCGTGAGACCTCTCCACCGTATACTCATGGAAGACGACCTGGTTGTGCGCGAAGGTACGCTTCTTGATGTCGATGACTTCCTTGATCCCATCGACAAAGTGGACTGCATAGATAGGCTGTGTGTAGCGATTTAGGAACCTTTGCCTGATCTTTTGTAGAGACACCGGTCCAAAAGATCAATCTTCATCCAAAGGTCCAAGAGAATATCAGGCAGAGGTTCCTAAATCGCTACACACAGCCTATCTCTGCAGTCCACTTCGTCGATGGGATCAAGCAAGTCATCGACATCAAGAAGCGTACCTTCGCGCACAACCAGGTCGTCTTCCATGAGTATACGGTGGAGAGGTCTCACGGACAGATCTGCAGGTTCACAGATTGTGACTTTATAAATCTGAATCCGTGGGATCTTCTATCTCTGTATTACTTCACAGACCACAAGAAGGATAAGGGGCTTAAATATGTTGTGGCCAACTCTGCTATACGACAAACGATGGCAGACCTACTCGACTTCAGATGCAAGTTTGATTTTCAACTAGCTCTAGATCTAGGAGTGGATCAATTGATTGTCGATGCACCAAACGAAGATCTACAGGGCATCAATAGCATCCCCTCTTGGACTGTATTGGAGGAATCAAAAGTAGGAGTGGTATTTCGAAATGCACAACAAAAGAAGATCTTTTTTCGAGATAACCAGAACTACAAGTATTCAAACTCTACTCTGCGCTACATCAGAGATAACCTAGTCAGGAGCAGAGACAACTCCCCAGGAGCAAAGGAGCGAGCAAAAATCATCTTAAGGTCAATTCGCAACATGCTAAAGTTTCATGAACTTCTTAGGAAGTTCATTAGACTTCAAAACATTTAGACCTTATCTTTTGTAAGTTTTTTTTCTCTATCTTTAAGTCGATGTAATTTCCATTCAATCGTATTGTACCTTTTTAGATAGTGAATGTAAATTAGAGGTTCCTTTTAACCTCTGGCTTCGATTAGACTTTCTGTTTTGTAATTCAAGTAAGAGTCTGCCTTATTTACACTTAGGGGGAGATTGTTAGACCCCAACCTGTGAAAGTGTAAGTAAGAAGTTTCTTACTCTAGTCAATAGGACTTGGTCTATTGAAGCGGTCTGGACTAAAAGCTCTCATGCAGAAGATCAAGAACCAGAGCTCTTACTCATGAGTGAAGGTTCCATTCATACAGAGCCCGCGCTCTATCCCCATGGACGATCAAGCCTTATGTGCCAAAAAGCATAAGCGCTTGACACAAAGCTACAACTCCAAGACTCAGAGCCTCTGCATATGCAGAACCTCTGAATAGTACATGCAGAGCTTCTGTATGTTACAAGCAGAGCTTCTGGTCACTCTCTCCATGGAACGCGTGTGCTAGCCCAGACATTCTCGCAAGCGTCTAACTGTTTTGAGGCGGCTTAACCTAGTCTGCTCCGCTTTTCAAGGGAAGTCAAAGATAAGGATGCAGACTCGTCAGCTCAGTATTTCAAGCCTATTTTATAGCATAGTTGTTAGACCTAAGCGTATATAAGGAGGCTTCCTCCTCAGGTTCAAATTACCTGAAAGTGCCGACTTATACTATACCTAATTATTGTGAGATTACGATTTTTGATTGTTCTTTACATTCATCAATAAAAGCATTCGACATATTCAAGTCTTTTCATTGTTCTTATTTATACTTTGAATATTTCGATTAATCATTCGTGGTACACTGTTTGTTTTCATTCCTATTATTTATAAACTGTATTTTCTGCAAATTAAGAGTATCTGGGTTCCAACACCTATGAAGATAAAAATAATACTTTCATGCACAGTGACTTACATACTTGTCAGAAAGAAGAAAAGACCATTAAGCTAAGTCCTATTGTTGTCCGAAGACTTTATACATTCTCATTACTAACACCAAGTGATTATAAGCATTGCTCATGTTTCCACATTTTGTAGCAACTCAACTTAATATTAGATGCTTACACATCACAAATCTTTTCATAACTACTTATATTATACCATTAGTTGTAACTTCGTTTCTTTCAGGATACACCAAATCAAACATGTTCCAACTATATTAGCAGCTACAAATGGCTAAGCCTTGCATACTAGATCTTACATATGAAATATATCATGTTGTCATCACCTTATCCACTATCATTTGGGTGGCATTGTGTTTCTCACACCAGATCCAGTTCTATAAAGACATTAAACTACCATGTGATTGGCAATTAGTCAGATTTAGTTTTCAAAGGTCAACCTCAAGCTAATGTAAAAAGTAGCATTAAACACACTTTATATAAACCCTCTGAAGTAATGCAACCAACAACATGAAAACTTAACAAAGATTCATGATTGAAGAAGAGATGAGATGAGCACTTATCTAAGGAAAAAACTTACTTTCTTCCGCAACCGACTTTTTCTTGCAGCTTCACGATTTTGAGCAAGCCGCCGAAGTGTCTGAAGATTTATTATAATTATAATTTAACATAATATAAGATCAGATGGATAGCAACAGCGTTAAGAACTTACATAAAAAGGTCCTAATTAGCAGCTGCATTTTACTTGAAGCATGTTAAAATAATAATGTTTTCCAGATATTCGTAATGACGATAATAGGTGTTGACAAGGTAGAGCGGTGTGTTTGAAGTGTAATTTTGATAGTGAAGTCTAGAGAATAATCTAGAGTTTTGTTTTAACTTTTTTTTTTCTTCTTTCTGAAATTGGATTTTAATTTATGGAGACATAGCAATAACTTTTGAGGCATTTCAAAAGAAATACAGCAAACTATAAAAGGGACGGCAGGAAACATAAGCAGCACAAACACAAAAACCTTTTGGTCCCTCGACTTATCGCTGGCATCAGAAACCACAAGCCCATGTGATTGGCCACTATGAAACTGCATTAGAATCACAGATACCAAATATTAGCAAAACCTCCATATATGGAGTTCACTTATTCATCCTACCCCAACTAGTTTGGATTAATATTCAATGTTATTATATAAAACCAAACGAAACCAAACCAAGTGTGCCCAGTAGATCCCACTCAGAAGCAGGGGTGACGGTAGGATGTACGCAGACCTTGCCTCTCTATTCCAATGGGTAGAGAGTCTATTTCCATGTGTTGATATATAGGAATATCAATTGATATGAAAAAACTAAAATCAACTTTTGTAGTAAAAATCAAAATATAAATAATGAATCATCAGTTAAAGCTTCCTTATTTTTTATATAGAAGAATAGAACACCCTAAAGAGAACTCTCAAGTGGTTTATAGTATTACCCCCATAGCCTTGTCGTCAGTGTCCCCATCTGTAGAAGTATCAGTCCTTGGACTGAGCTCTGCCATTATGGAGTCTTGATCAAGAACAAACAGTAGAGATGTGCCAAGTCTTGCTCTGTTCCAATAGCAATGATTATACCATGGTTAATAGCTACCAAACTATATTAAAACTTTTGTGAATCATCGACTTCTGCACACACATAATTTCAGCAAATTAATTACTGAAACCAAAACCGTTTAAGAAGTAGAAGTCAAAAAAGAAACTCAGGTTCCAGGAACCCAGCGGCATCCGGTAGATCCCAACCTCCTTGGAGGTCAAGCGTTCAAGCCTCACCAAAGGTGAGAAGTGAGTAAGTTTTGCCATATTATATACTTCAAAAAATTTGTACCTTCTCCAAGTATGAAGAAGATCTAATGCCACAGCTGCAAGAAAATGGGGAATTCAAAATTTCATGCCAAAATTGTTCCAGCCCACTGGTTCGGTCTTGTGCTCCCCGTGACCAGATAACTTCTTCTGATACAGCAGTCTTCCTCTAGAAGAAAATTCAGTAAGGAGGAGCTCTCTTTAACCCCAATGTGTAATCTAAATATGAAATCCTAGTGCTAATATAGCATATATTAGTATATCTTCATCTATCTATCTTTCTGCATACCACTAGCCCTGAAAATCTTTCTTGCCCATCTTGGCATTGATGGTATTGGAATATAAATATCAACAAAATTTTGCATAATTGTCATCCATAATATTTGCTTTATGTGTAAGGACCTTTCCAACAGGTCTAATGTTCATCAAATAACAAAGAACGTTGACCACTCTATGTTACCTCAAATTAAGAAGCGTCTATTAACAAAATTTCGTCAAAAATAGAATTAAATCATACCAAAATTTGAAGCTTAAATGTCGCATGCCCCACATCTAAACTCATCGTGCATCTCCTTACCATTTTATGAACAAATTCATAGTTCAAAATTCAAAAACAACATGGTTTAACACCAAAAAGAATGAACTTCCTCACGAAAACAATTAAGCAACTCTAAACCGGAATCTTGTAGTTTGTGAGTGGGAGGGTAGAGTGATTAAGGAATTAGAGGGCTTACAGTTCAGTTTAACAGAAACCCAAATTCAAAAGGATGGAACAGAGACAACCGATGGTCGTCAGTTGATTATGAATAATCGAATCAAACAGTGATGGGGTGGTCTGCTGCTGCTTCTTTCTTCTTCGCTAGTCAGTCTACTGTAGAATTATTTCAAGCATAGGGCAGAGTAGAGAGAGAGAGAGAGAGACTGAACGATTGGGGAAGACAGAGTGGGATTTGGTTGCGAGTAGCAGCTAGAAAAGGTCCAAATGTCGCTCATTTTGACTTATGATCCCATGCGGAAATCCCTCACGGGTGCAAGCAAACCGAGTTCGATAATGCTCGGCTAAGTTTGAGTCCACTTGGAGTTCGAGTTCAAATTCAAGTTTTAATGGTTTGTTTACCCTTGATGATCCAACAACAGCAAACCGTTAGTTTTTATTTTATTTTTTAGAGACATTTATATTTTTTTTTTTATTCGATAATTATTGTTCTTCAATCCTCAACAACGTCGTTTCTCAATCGATTAACCTTAATCAATTATTTATCTCAATTAATCCTTACCAAATCAATATGTCATCTCTCTCAATTGATGTATTTTAATAGGATTTAAATGTGATAAACACCATTAATGACATATCTTCGTTTAAATAAATGTTAATTATATAATTTAGATGTAAATTTCGTAATTATGATGAATAAGTATGTGAACTTGTATAAATTTGTCTTTAAATTCAACAATACAATTTTTAGTGGGGTAAAATATACAATTTAAACAAATTCAGACGTTTATTAGCTTACAAAACAAACAGTTTTATTGATTCATATTTTAGATTCCAGCATCACCTATTATAAATTAAAAGTGAAATAGGATTTCAGACTTCAGCACTTTCTAAAAAACAAACGTCACCTAAGAGTTGTTTGGTAAAAAAGTCTGTTTTTAATGATTTTAAAACCATTTTAATGATTTTATATTTTGATCTCCCTTAACCATTTAGCGCCCAAATTTTATCAAACAATTGTATTCCATTTTGCAATGTATCATAAGATCACCTTAATCATTCTGACCACTTAATCATTCTGTACCAAACCATTCAACAACTACTAAAGTATGATAATGTTATGCTATGGCTATGATCAGGTGTAAGTTGATAAATAATTATTTTCTTTATAAAAAAACTAGTTTATAAACTAAATGATAAAATAATTTAAGAAAAAAATTAGTTATAAATATGTAAACACTTGTAATTTATAACACGTTACTTATAAAACTACTTTATTCTTAAATAAAATCAGTTTTTTCAATAAATTCAAAAAAATAAGCTAAATTATTTGTTGCTAAACATGCATAAATTCAAGTCCAAGGGATGAGTTGTTGAGGACTCCTTCAGCTATGGCTGAGTCTTGGTCAGATATCATACTTGACGTAGATGGTCATGGTATCATTGAATGTCGCTTAAGTCACAAGTCCACCATTTTTGTCTTCAACTTTATCTTTAATATTGTTGAATATTCTTTGGTGTGAGTTTGTCTTGGAAGGACCAACTTAAGTTCTAACTTGTTACAATACATGTTCAGCGATCACTGAACAAACTCAGATATACTCGATCATAGAAACTGAAACTTGAAGAATAGAACTAACTAATTTCACTAAGTAAAAGGATCATCATCAAATCACTGAGAGAGTTTGGATCAACAATCTCCCCCTATTTGATAAGGACAAAACAACATAAAGGAACTTGCTAAGTTTTTTTTTTCTGATTAACCTGGATATCCAACCCGCTATGCGAGCCGACTAATCCCAGGGCGACCACCTGCTTTGCAGATAGTCATGAGTTACCGCATTTGAACCTCTGTGGCCACAAGACGATTTTTATTCCTCCTTGGATTTGAACCTGGGACCTCCTGGTACTTTTTACCTTTGGAGTCAAGCTCAAACCAATCAGACACCACCCTTGTGGTTAAGGAACTTGCTAAGTTAAATAAAAAGGAAATAGAACTCATAAAATACTTGTCTCATTAATTGTTCTAAGGGATCTTTTCAGCACTTAGATGGAGCAAAAAAGTACTTCATTGAAATTTTATTGATATGTAAAAAGTTTACAAGTATAAGAGTGAAATTATTTAAGTTGAGAAGTACAATAGTTGAAAGATCTTCTAACATAATACAAAGATAAGAAACTCCAATGCATCTATCAGCTAAGATCATTAAATGTAATGTAGTAAAGCATTTCAGATCTTTGATCTATTCTCTTTAGCAGCTCCTTTCAAATTCTTATGTCTATAAACTGGCTAGGAAGAGTTGAGACATCAGAATAGGTAAGAAGGAAGATAAGATGGTCATCAGGTGGGAGATAAAGCTCTAAATCTCGCTAAAACCAGAGATCTCCATTCATATTTGTGAAGAAGATTCCATGTTCAGGTTTGTAGATGAGATTACCTGGTATCTGATCACCTTTGGTAAGAAGGGTTAGATTCATCATTGAGAGATCTGAAGAGTACTTTGAGAGAATATCATCGAGTGAAAACTTTGTTTGATGTTCATTTATTAGTGGTAGATTATTGTTGTCAGCATTGCATCCTCTATGATTTGTCCTCAGTTGTTAAGGAGGAACACACTACAATCTTTGAAATTCTTTCGAAGAGTTTTTTCAGCTCCCTTTCAACGATATACTTGTATTTGGACTCAGACTTATAAATGCATTGTCGAATCTCTAGCCATTCTTGACATCCATACTTATACAAGAACGATGGATAATTAGTGATCCATTCTCCATTATTCTGAAGATAGACATGTTGACCAAGATCCTTCCATCCTTTTCTCTTCCAGTGATGGTGACATTGGTGATAGTATGCCTGTTAAGGCACTTTTAACCTTTAGATTACATCATCACTATTCTTTCTCCTTCAGTGACATCTTCTTTGATTTGTCTTCTTCAGCTTCTTCAAGGATAAGGGCTTGCAAATCGATTGGATTTGCTCTTTTAAAATTTTCCTTTGGTGTGAGTATCGATGGACAAAGCCTTTGCCAGCTCAAGGCTTTTGTTCAGCAATTGACATTGACGATTCATTTTTTGCTCATCCTTAAGAACTTATTCTCTTTTAGCTTCGATAGGAAGCCAAAATCATCGCCAGAGGTACGAAAATGAATTTCTATCTGGTATCATTTAGCTTCGCCACTATCTAAGTCATCCTCTTTGATTTTTTAGCCCCTGAATGTAGACTTTGAAGGTTTAAGCTTGAAGATCTTCAAGGGATAAGGCATGAATCTTCATCTTCTTTAGCATCAGATTCTTTAGGTATATACCATGGGAGTTCTTTCCCAACTGTTGAAAGTAAGTCTGAGGTTCTGGGAGGATATTCACATAAGGGTGAAAAGGATAAGATAATGGTAGTAGGAGGAAGTGGTAAGGGGAGGAAAGGTTGAGAAGGGGGGCTTTCATCATGAAAATGAGTTCAAGAGAAAGGGGAGGTTTAGTGATACAACAAAAAGGAAAAGGTATAGGGATATATGCAGTAAGATCATAAGATACTTGTATATCCCCCACCGATGAAGAGAGGTCTTGAACCTTATCTTTTCCTACTTGTTCAACATTGGATCTCTCCTGATGAGAGGATCTCTTGGATAGAGATTCCTTTGTTGACAGATTAAGGGGCTCACTAAACAAAGAAATCATCATCATTGTTGTTATCCTCATTATCATTATTTTTATCATGCATGATGTCAACATCATCATCATCATCATCATCATCATTGGCATCATCATCATCATCATTGGCATCATCATCATCATCATCCTCTTCATCTTTACCTTTAGCTTTAGTGATTAGTGATTACTATTGCTGAGGTGGATGGTTGTGTAGCTTTGGTGATAACGACATCATCGAGTGAAGAGAGGATCTCTACATTACTTTCATTAGTGGCATTTGATTTTTCAAGAAGAACTTTCGCTTCAGATATGATCTTCTCAACTTCAGCTTCTACTTGGGTTAAGGACTATTCAATAGTTACATACTTCCCCCATGCGTTGTCATCATCATCAAGAGGGAGAGATGTACGAGCGATGAGTGTCTTTAAGTGTTTTTCTATACCTGAGAAGGATTCATCTTGGCAAATGTTGTAATCAATGACCATGTTGAGGATCATCCTGTCAAACACCCTGAATGAAGGTTCATGAGCTGGTGGATGTTGGATGGTATGAAGAATTTGCTTGAGCAGAATGCCATGTTGATTGAGCTGAGAGTGGACCTCTTTAGTGTGATGAAGGAGTTCTGAAGAGTATGTATAGCTAATGAGTTCTCAGCGAGACCAGCCTTAATCTCCAAGACTTCAACTTTTAGGGCTACGAGACTCCCTTTAGTGTTAGCTTCATGTTTGGAAAGCGACTTTTACATATTCTTTGCCTTGAATGTCATATTTTTAACCTTGGAGAGCACCATGTCCAGGGCATGAAGCATTGATTTTATGTCCTCGGCCATATAATAATCATCGGCTAAGGGAATCTCCAAAGAAGGACCTGGAGAAAGAGATATGATATTTTGAGCTGAAGAATGCTCAAGGTTAGTAATCAAGAAAGAAGCGCTAGGAGAGTTAGAATACCAGAGGTTCGTTCAGAGTTTTCCAAAAGATCAACCATGATAGTTTCGTCCTCGCTATCATGAGGATCAACATTGATTTGCTGAGAGGGCTTTAGAGAAGCACCTTTAGGTCTGTGCTAGTTGTGGCTTCAACACTTGTGGGGGACAACCACTTGTGCATTACCAGCTCGTGTCATCGAGACCAAAAGAGGAGGTGAAGAAGCAAGCATCGATGAATGAGGGGTTGTGATCTTATGTAGGAGTAGAGTTATGGACGAGCTCAAAATCATACTTTCAGTGATTTGAGTCACTATGATGGTTCTTGTGGTAGCATCCATTGATACGGAAGCAGCTGAGGAGAGGACTGCTGAAGAGCTGGTAATGGTTGCAGGTGCCTTAAAGTTGAGGCCAAATTCTATGAGCTTGGCATGTAGAAAGACCTCGCCCTATGATGTGGCGTTCCCTTTCTTGGATTTTTGGGTCCTCTTTGAAGGACTAAGGGGGGTTGAAGATCTTCTTTTGAGAGAGGGGGTTTGGATACTTATGCAGTCATTAAAAGCTCTTTCATTGATGTAGTCTCCTTTAAAAGTGAAGAAGTATGAGGTTAAGGATAAGCAATGGAGATTATACTTGGCATCAACGATAGAACGACGAGTATCGACTTATGTTCTACAATTTGGAGGTACTGAGAAGAAAAAG